GCACTTCTATAAACAACTTCCAGAGAGAAGCGAACGAGGTCTTCGTCCACCGTGACCATCCTCCAGGAGTGCGAGACAACCGGACCGCTAAACAGTTCCTCGAGGGTAACCCAAGGGGAAAGTGCGGTAAGGTGATACCATTTAAGGTAGTTTAACCACTGGCGCATCCATCCATAAAGGAGAGAGTACTCCAGGAAATATCTAGATTCCTCAGTCTCGAACACCTCATCGGGGGGCAATATCAGCTCCCGGGGCTTAAGTTTGGCTCACGAGGAATGGAAAGGAACATCTTCTATTTGATCTCGAAGTCCTCATATAGCACTTCTTCCAATCCTGGATGGGGGATCACTTGTAGGAATGACATAATGCTAATCCATGTTCTACACTTTGCCAAGGAAGCATCGATTTTTAATCTCATTATGACTTGGTCGTTCAGAAGATATTCTTTCTCGATCAGAATAGTGGAATGGAAGGCACTACAAGAAAGATATACTCCTTTTCAAATCGCCCCGCGAAGACAGACGTTTAGAAAGGTTCTCGAGATTCTCAATCGCTCTTTTTTAGTAGGGAGGAATAGTACGGGAAGGGAGCGAGACCAAGTCGAGCCTCTAGTAGAGTAAGCCCTTCCCACGTGTAAAAATGAATTGCAGCCTCAACCATAGAGATCAACCTGCGCCTTTGATGTTAGGCCCTGACGGAAAGTTTTCCGAAACCGAGCTGAATGGAATTGTTACTTTCAAAAAATGCTTTCTGTCGTTCGAGATATGGAGGGATGCTTTGGGTTTGATCTGAGATGGGTTCATGCCAGGCTGGGTGCAGTGGCCAAGGCAAGATTTGATACCCATCATCTAGAGGAGTACGCCCAGACTTCAGCAGCGCTCGAGAAAGCTACAAGTGCATTGGCTCAACTTGAAGGAGAGTTGTCTCGGCGTAGTGAAACTGCTTCTGCCCATTTGGTGAACAACTCTGTTGCTACTAAAATGAAACATTTTCCCCTCGAGGGAGTGGTTATTTTCCCGATGAAATCGAGGGCACAAGTTTGAAATGGGTAGGGAGTTCCACGGTTGGAGCATGTATGAGGTTGCCATGTAGTTGACAAACCTTACACCTCTTAACAAATGTTGCTGAATCTATCTCCATAGTTGGCCAATAGTACCCCTGGGTCATCAGGTGATCATATATCTTTGCGCCACCACTATAACCTGCGGCGTGGGCTTCCTCGAGAACCTGCTGCACATCCGGATGGAGAGGATGGCCTTTATAACCCTTCCTGTAAAGTTCTCCTTGCTTAGCAAAGAAGCGAAATGCCCTTTTCTTTATTCAAACTACATCTTTTGTTTCAGAGGGGAGTATTTTTGATCCAGAAAAGAAACACAATCAATATAGGGCTTTCTCCAGTCTTCATAATATAATGCTCTAAGGCACATTCTGCTGGACATGGGTAGAATTGACATTGGAGGCAAGTTTTCTTCAATTTGTTGGCTTCCTCCAATACTACAGCTGAGAGTTCTGCTCTGATGGAGGTGCATATTCATATTCTCCACTCAGGAAACGGGAAAGCAAATCAACTAAGGCTTTAGTTTTCATTGCGTTGGGAGTCACACATTTCATGTCACAGCCTGCTAGAGTGAGGAACCGCCGAGCAGCTCTCCCTATGAGTATAGTATAGCTCAAGACATTAAGTTTTTGATTGGGTCACAAGGTCTTGCTTTCGGTATATGGAATCCGCTTTTCCCATAACTGCTTGACTCCCGGGCATCACTTGAAGTTTAAGCATAAGGACTTGGGCCTTACCTGAAGACAAGAACTCGTACGATTGATTCAATCAATAGGAGCTATCATGTGCCTACTTCTTGCCTACTATATGGTGGCCCCTACAGATACGCCTGCCCCAAAGACTTCCACAGCACCAATTCCGACTACTTCTGTGTCTGCCACGTCTCTAACGAATTAGCTCTCGAGCTTTCAATGCTAGAGCCATTCCCGCGGGAGAAGAACTTACTATAATAGGGAATCTAGCTTGAAAGACTTGATCGGTAGTGCCAGTCATTCCCTACCTTTCTTGTTCAACTTCTCCTATATTGATTCATATAGCATAGGGAAACTAGTAGGGATATAAAAGCAATCAAATAAGGCATTCTCCGCTGGAGAAGAACAGACTAGGTTTTCTTTCTCTAAACAGATAAAGTTCCGGGATAAAATTAAGCCTAAGCTTGAGTTCAAGAACCTTGCGACTAAAGAATAGTTTCATAAAATGCCTTTTGGCACTCACTCTCTATCATGTTCACTATCCCTGATAATAGATATACTAGGTATTATCCCCTAAGTCGCCGGGGGCTAGGTCCCCACCTGTTGTTCCTAAGACATAAGGTACCTTACCTGATTCTGACATTCGACTTGAAAGGAAAGCATAAGGAGCCTTAGAATCTTTTCCCTACGTGACAGAAATAGATAATATGGTAGTTAAGGCACTTCCCGATCTAGTAGTTATTTCTGCTGC